GGTCCATGAACCGCCGGTTAGAACCGCCGGTAATGGGCATTTTTCCTGTAGTGAGTATTCTCTTCCAAAAGCAGGCATGTAGTTGTATATCATACTAGTTGCACACGTTATATTTAGTCTAGTAAATTTAATAAAGGACATGAGACTCATGTAGATAACCTTCACAATGTTGCCATGCATAAAAGCTATTTTAACATCCATTTATCATGATTTTAGGGCATATCAAGCTACTATAGGTAAAATCACTATGATCAAAGTGTACTTAGCATTATTAAAATATATTCCTTCTTCTTGAATGAATCATTTTGCTAATGATCTTTCCCTATATCTAGGTACTTTGCTAATGATATAGCCCACAATTATTATTTTTCATTGGTTTATTTATGAGTTTCTAGGTATTTAGCATTATTAAAATATATTCCTTCTTCTTGAATGAATCATTTTGCTAATGATCTTTCCCTATATCTAGGTACTTTGCTAATGATATAGCCCACAATTATTATTTTTCATTGGTTTATTTATGAGTTTCTAGGTATAATTCTCTTCTGATGATTTTATTTCTCATTTAGGTCATTATTTTAAAAAACTTTTCTCATTATTGTTCATATCTTTTACGTAATCTTGGCTCATCCTATAACAATTATTCAATGATGGAAAGAGCATAAGCAATCAAATCAACAAAATATAATTTTGTGATAGATTGTAACTCCCTAAATCATTCTAATCTTATTATCTAGCAATTTCTTCCTAATCATCCTAATTAGTAACTAGTTTGGGTATCATCTCCACTTGCATCTCAAATGTATAATTGCCCTTTTATAATTTCACTACATTCTCAATATTGACTTTGATCCTTTGATCCTTAATTATAGTCAAGCCAAATCATCATTTCATGCTCATTAAAGATGCCATCTCTAATAGTAATATACACTTTCATCCTTTTTTATTTATTAGCCATCACATATATCCATTAACTCCCTCTAAATATCCTAAAAATAAACACATTTTGTATCTTAGCTTTAATTTTTCCTCATTCAAATGAACCAAAATTGAATATCTAAAATTTTTAAATTTATGCATTTTTTTTTTCATCCAAACTTCCTTAAGATTTTTGAGATCAAGATAATCAATATTAATTGTTACACATGAACATAAATTGGAAATCTTAAAATACTTAATTAATGTGGGTTTTGTTTTGTTTTTTAATTTTCCCAATAAGTGAACCAATAGTTTCTATGTATATAAGTGAGACAAATAATATAGTAGACCAAATTAATTGCAAATTCAATTCATTATATTTTTTATCATTCATAATCACAATCAAACCTCTTATCACTTTTAACACTCTATTTTGTTTACTAAATTATTTATTAATATCAGCATGGGTTTACTTTAAAACATCATAAATCTATCCATGAATGTGATTTTAAAAAATAATATTATACCAGATGTATATTCGTTTTGTTAGGGGTGTAAAATCAAGTAAATAGGACAAATTTGGGTATGATGAAAAAATTGGCCTAACATGATCTATTCAACCCAAATCTGCCTCGTTTAATAAATTGATCAAATAGGAGGACTCAAATCTAACCTACTGGCAACCCAAATGACCCTAACTTGACCTGATAATTCTTTTTTGATTAAAAAAATAATTATAATTTATCAATTAAAGAGTTAAAGTTAATTGATAAAAAATATGAAAATCATACTAGAAATAAAAGAATTTAAGAAAAAAAATATTAAATCAATCACTTTTTGGGTTAAAACAAGTTCATAGGTCAACTTAAACTTAAAATCAAAATTCTAGACCCAAACTTGGCCGTTTATTAAATGAGGCAACAAGAAATAATTTTTTTTTGGTAAGGTTTGGATTGGGTTGACAGGTCAAGTCATTTATTGACATCCTAATTATATGTTTATTTTTAAAGTTTAAGTTCAAGATTTATTATTGTCACTTTTTTAAATGTTTGAAAGATATTGATGATTTAGTAAATATCATACACTTTAAATTAGCATATTCATATTTGCATTAGCATATCTATATTTCATATGTATTCTTATTTTTATTCTACTAACATCAAAAGTAAGAAAACAAGTTTAAAAAAATTTAGCATCCTTTTATCATTAGCATTACTTTAATTACATTATGGCATTTAGATAATCTCTTGTTATAAAGCAATCTATAAATAAGCATGTCTGTTTTAATAAAAACTTTTCTTCCTCAGGAATAAATATGGTATGTGTAAAGGGAATCATTAATAAATAAAATGTATTCAGTAAATTTGCAATCAAGATCACAACCAGAAACAATAATTTCATTCAAGAAGACTGAACCCAATTAGCTTTTTACTAAAGCTCAATGAGCCAACATGCAGAATTTATGCTCTAATCAAATTGTAAGTTGGCTCATTTAAAAAATAGTAATATAAAATTTTAAGAAAATATTAAAATTCAAAATATCATTACAAATTTATTTTAATTTTTAAAATATAATTTTATTTATTATGTTGAATCCAAATTTATCTGTGGATGACGAAAAATTATTACGTCTTCCCACCTGACGTAGAGATGCGTCCTCCCAGAGCTAAAAAACTCGGTTTTTGCTCGATATTGCTAGGTATTATTTGGTAATAACGACGAATATCATCATGTGAAGACCAATACCGAGTTATACCGAGCAATACAAAAAATACCTAGTTTTTCCTAGAGAAAACTCGGTATGTGCTCGGTATTGCTCGGTATAGCTCGGTATTGGTCTTCACATGATGATATTCATCGTTATTACCAAATAATACCTAGCAATACCGAGCAAAAACCGAGTTTTTTGGCGGTGGGAGGACGCATCTCTACGTCAGGTGGGATGACGCAATAATTTTTCGTGGATGACGCCCAACTTTTCTACCAAGCAATCTTCTAGGTAAAATTAAAAAATCTAGAGAGATTTGAGTGAGTATGACTGGTGAGATAGAGAAATCAAAGTACCAAGTAACAAAAAATGACCCTAAATGTGCATCCTCGCCCTTTATTTATATGGCTTGGGAGACTACAATGAGGTCTACATACAATAAACAATAAAAGAAAAAAAGTATAATATTAATTATGACTCAGTAATTATATATTGTACAGAACAAGCGGCATGACCTAACAGGTAATTGCTTAGCAGAAATCTGTCATCAGATGATGGAATTTCTTGTTTGGATCCCATTCTGATTGCTCTCCATTCAAGCTTATAGATTTGGTTGCCTCTGCAAGAAGGAAGACAAAGCTAAACATCCTATTTGGCTTCCGATGCTGTCTTCTTTCAGAATTTTCTTCCAGCAACAGGATCTCATTTCATATCTTGAAGTACTTGTAACCATCTTCTTGGCTTGTCATACCCTCTTCCCAATCACCCATACGGCGGCCTCCGAAAACCACCTGTTGAATTCCCAAGTATCTGACAAAAGAATGGAAGGCTATGGTCATACAGGAAAGCTGTTTTAAGAAGCAGTAAGAAAGTCGTCCCAAACGAAGACTTTGTAAAAGCTAGTCCATGGACCACAATATATATTATATTGTTCAAATAGCAGTTATTTGAAGGCTAATTGTGGTAAACGAAGGAAAACTTTTGTTCAGCTTATTTCATCCAAACAATATCCATTTGTTTTCTAATAGTTTATCTTACCACAAAACACACATAAGACTGAACCCACTAAGGCCGAACCACACTTAGGTTTAGTTTGGGACGACTTTTTGTTGCTTTATAAAACAACTTATAAGTACAAAAATTAAAAAAATTATATTAAAAAACTGTTTTATGAAGCAATAAGAAAGTCATCCCAAACACAGCCTAAGTCTAAGAAGTCAAAATCTAGACAAGAATCAAGTAATTTGTTTGTTTGATTAAGGCACTAGATGGTATTGAAGTGTCTAATAGCAGAGTTCTGGCATATTTCTTATGCATCCAAGTACTAAGCAGAGATGACAATGCTGCAAAGAGGTGAGGTAGAGATCCATTCTGCAGCACTTCAATTGAATGGGTTTGGAATTTTATATAGAAGTTACAGCATGAGTATGAGCCATTAACTTAAGTCCCATCATATTTAGGCTTTGTTTGGGACAAGTTTTTTGTTGCTTCTTAAAGCAGCTTTCTAATATAAAAATTTTAAGTTTCGTACTAAAAAGTTGCTTTAAGAAGCAACAAAAAAGCCGTCCCAAACGAAGCCTTAATTGGTTGGGAAGAGTATGCATGCCACCAGTCCAATCTGAACTGAAATATTTAAGGCAATGATATAAGTAGACTTAGACATTGCAAAGAGATTGCTTAATGTGTGACCCATTAGTCACATTGAAGGCAATTGAATAATCACTCCATGTATGCCTGCTGTAGGTTGTCACGAACAGAATTTGCTATAAATTTCCTTTGAAATGGGAGGCACTATACTTGGTCAAAAAGTGATGAGGGGCAGCAGTCAGAGATTTTGACATGTGTATCGTCAACGTAGTCGTGGATCGACAGCTACGATTCAGAGTCTGTATTTTTTAAGTATTTTATGTTTTATGTTGCATTTGAGTTTTCCCATTTTACCCCTATGGGGAATTGAGTCTATGTTGTAGTCGGAGGGCACTTTAGTCTTTTATGTTTTCTTTCATTTGGGCCTATTTATAAGATGCCTCTTGCATTGTAATGGATGATGATTATTGATATGAAAATTCAGTTTTTGCTCATGATCTCTTTGTGAGTTCTAGAGGAGAGTAGTAGTCTAGGAGAGGCTCACACGGAATACCCAACAGCCCCCTTTGTGGGAGCTTTTAGTTCTTTATTTTCTTCTTCCACTTTTCTTTTTTCTTCTAGCCATCCCCACCACCCAACCCGTCTACTTGCCGCCGGTCAACACCCACATCTTCCCCTCCCCTTAGCCCGCCAGATCTCCTTTCCCCTCACCCGTCCCACTAAATCCCTCCCACCTCCCTTCCACCGGAGCCAACACCAAAGCCACCGGCTCCATCGGAGCCCCACCCGCCGGCCAATCCAAGGCTAAGCCATAGAGTTTGAATTTCAAATTCAAGTAAGCTTTCATTACTTTCCGAAATTAACTCCTTGTCATTTGGGAAGTTTCCTAATTGAATTCAATTTGAAATTTGAATTTCAAATACCTTCCTAAGTTATGAAACCCAATTAAGAGACCATTCAAATCTAATTAAATTTTAATTTAATTCAGAATTTGATTTAATTAAATATTCAATCACTTGGGCACCACTTACATTGAACCTAGACACAATTTTAAACCCCCATAGGGCCGGCCCCCCTCTCTCTCCACTTTGCCACCTAAGCAACAATTAATCCCCTCCTAAATTCCCTAATAGCCACCGGCCCTTAATTAGGTGGATTTGAATTTAATTTTAGCTCCCCATTTCTAAAGAAAATTTTGAAATTCAGAATTCAGATTTTTCTTCTCATCTTTTCTCCCCCACCACTTGGCTTAACCCAAAGAAAACCCTAACTGTTGAACAATTATTACGTCCTCCGACCGGACGTAGAGGAACGTCCAGTCGAAGGCCAAATCGCGCCAAAAAATGAGAAATACTGAGCAAATACCGAGCAATACCAAACAATAATGAGGAATACCATCACGTGAAGACCCAATACCGAGTTATACCGAGCTATACCGAGCAATACCAAGTTATACAAAAGTTGTACCGAGTTTTTCCTAGAAAAAACTCGGTACAACTCGGTATTGCTCGGTATAGCTCAGTATAAGTCGGTATTGGTCTTCACAGAGCGGTATTCCTCGTTATTATTAAATTATACCTAGCAATACCGAGCAAATACCGAGTTTATTGACGGGATTTTGCCTCCGACCGGATGTTCCTCTAAGTCCTTACACCGGACCTAATAAAAGTTCTAACCCTAGCCGCCCCTAACCCTCCCCTAGTCATCTTCCACCATCCTCTCCTCACCTCACAAATCTCAAGATTGTTCTTCTCGAACCGCCACCACCACTATGCATGGCCGATCCGGTATTCGACCATGGCTTCTTATAAGATGATCAAGGACGAACAAGTATTCTCGGATCTTCTTTCTTTGACATAAATCCCGACGCAGACGACTCCGTGGAGAATTATAGGGATCACATTCTCTTACGTTAGCACCTCCTATCGAGGAGCACCTTCTCGCTAGGCGTTGGATACTCACTAGTCAACTCGTGGATTCCCCGCCGCCGGCCACCTCTCCAACGAACTACACCTTGGGCGTCATTTGTCTCCTAGTGGCATCGCTAAGCTTATTCTCAATCTTCCCCCACTAAAGCACCTTCACCAAGAGTGTGAGTGAGGGATCCAAGGTGAGCAAATCTATTTGTTAAACCATGGATTAGTGTTTCTTTGCCCTAACATTATTTTCTCTATTTTATGTTGTTAAATTGTAAGCATCCTATTAATCTAGTTGTAACCGCATGCCTTACATAATTTCTACTTGATAATTCTAAAAGCCTAATTTGGGAGAACAAGAAGCCTATAACTAGTAAAGCTATAGTAATCAAATATTAACATTTTACTTGCATTGTTTCACATCAAAAAGATACTAGTTCGCAAAAGCATTCATCATTGTCATCCTCATTATCTTTATCGAAACTATTTGGAGTTGTCTTTATGATTTTCATTTCTCATTCTTTCCATTAAGTAACGCATAAGGTGTCAAACAATTCAGCAATTCTCCTCACATCTTCTTGAACATTAAACAATTCAACAATTCTTCTCACATATTCTACATAGGTAACCTTACGTATATCATTTTTCCTTTAAAATCACTCAACACTAATTTTATCTATCCATTTAATGAGAGGATTTTCTACTATTTGTAAATATTAGATGTGATACTAAGGCCATGTTACCACAGAAGTGGTATTGTAGTCCCGTACGAGTCTTAATATGCAACAGCAATCCAATGGGATGTAATTCCAACTACACCTATTTTTCAGCAATTTTATCTTCAATAAATGCTAATTCAATCATGCCACACCACATTTAAAGCAATAATAATGCTCATCATGAATGTAAAATTGCTGCCACTCGCATAATAAGCCTGAATGAGGTACTTTAGCTTCAAGAACTAATCCAGCAGATCCAAGGTCTAAACTGCAACAATACCTGAATTTAATTGCAACAAATCCGATTCAACGTACATATTTTTCCATTAGGCTAAGATTTTATTGATTACCAAACAGACAATAGAACTCCAACATCATCTCTTTTTGAGATCAAAAAACCATTTTGAGTATGTTACATGGTATATTTTAAAGCAAAAATTAGCTAGCTGCAGAGTGGTATATTATAGGCTTTTACTTTACATCTTCAGGCTTCACAATGGTGTTGTATTATTTAACATTGTCAGATAACATTTTGATCCCTCTCTACCTTTTACAAGTGCATCAATGTGGGCTACGAGAAGCTCAGTCCATTAATTACCATTGTAAATTTAATAGTTCTAAACTCAAAAATAATCTCTTATTTGTGCTATTTGGCCATTAAAAGAGAAGCATAATATTAAGTTAAATGTTGCAGAGATGAGGATGCTTAGGTGTATGAGTGGATTTACTCATAGAGACATGATACGAAATAAGCATATACGTGAAAAGACTGGAGCACCACTAGTGTAAGATAAATATTAGAGAGAGTCGCCATAGATGATTTTCTCACATAAAATGGCAGTCTTCTGATGACCCAATTAGGAGAGTAGATGTATTAGATTTGACTTTATTAAGAAAGGTAGATGTATACCTAAAAGGATATGGTTAGAAAATATTAGAAATGACCTTTCTTTATTAAATTTAAATGAGAATTTGACTCTTAACATGACATAATGAAGCAAAACAATTTATATAGACGACCCCACAGTGGGATGAAGGCTTGATGATGATGATGATGATGATGATGTTGTGCTAATTGCATACATAACATAAATCTATGATTATTGAATTTAATCGGAAATCAATCCTAAATAGTGGGACAAGGCTAGCAATGGTGATGATAGATTTACTTAAACCAAGAACACGATAAATCATTGAAATGTTCATGAAATTAGCTGACATAAAGGTATTCACAAATAAATTGAAAAATCTTAATGAGTCTTACTCTGAGCTCAGCAGAGTAAGACAATTGAGCAGTACATCAACAGCAAAATAATCAGAAGTCCCGAGGTCCACCCTGTAATAAAAATCATTTGGATCTATAAATCATATAGGTACTTATTCATGCTAAACGTCAGCAAGTTTTAAAACAAAGCTTTTTGAATGTTGTTTATTGAAACATGCCTCCAAAAATAATTAACAAAATTTGTGATCAAATCTTTACCAAACTCGACCCCAGTTGTCTTGAAACTCCACATCACTTATGTCATGGAATGAAGAAGGCATGATCCTATCAGCCACATCTGCATCATACAAGGGATCATGGTCCATCGATGAGCTTGCCAACTGTATCACCCAACAAAGAGAAATGAACAAGAAGTTCCACAAAAAAATTCAAATGCTCAGTTTTAATCATCATCAACTAATCCAAAATATTTGGGATTAGCTTTATAAATAGTCATTTTTAACTTGTTCTTATTGAGGTTTGTTTTTAGTGTTAGCTCTGCTTCTTGGAAATCTTTCAGGATAACTTCTATACATCTTCTTCTACTCTCATTAGTGCTCATCTCATTTGAGCAATGTTGTCTCATTCTTATATCCACCAACTAGAATTAAATATTATTTTTTAAGGGTAGAAATCTGTCCTAAATAATTTTACTAATTATAAGTAGGGCACAGTATCACTTATAGACCCATGAACTCCATGCAGAAAGCATCTTAAAGCAGGGCAAACAGTCATATTCCAACATCTTAAAACATATATCATTTGAGCATTGGGTGGTTTTTTTTTTCTTTTTTTCTGGGCTGGTGAGGGGATGGGAGGAATTAATATAGAAAGCTCTTATAAGAGAAATTTTCTACATGTATCATATATCTCATTAATCGTCATTTTAGTATTTTTCCAAATTACTTTGTGGAAAATTTGAAACTTCTCCTGGCCAGCTAATCATGTCGTGACCCCAGTCATATGCCTCCATGTTTGCTCCAACAATTCCGCCTAATGCTGGCCGCAGCCAGCTAGGGGCGGATCCAGCTCCTTTTTTTAGGGTGGGCAAAAAAAAAATTTTTTTAGGGATGGGCAAAGATGCTTATGATTGATAAAATTAGGACAAAAAAAATTTTTTTAGGGGGGGCAAAATGCGCAAAATACCCAAAATATTCTAAAAAATTCCCTCTAAATATTAAAAAAAAAAATTTTGAGGGTGGGCATTTGCCCACCCTTAGGCCAATGTGGATCCGCCTATGAGCCAGCCCCCGCTCTTTTTCCTATTCTCATTGGAATCTTATTATAAGAGAATTCTATAAGAAGGTGGTGAGACATGCAATGTTTTATGGCACAGAATATTGACTATTAAATTAAGTGTTGCAGAGATGAGGATGCTCCGGTGGATGAGTGGCTTTAAATGCAAAGGTAGGAGTGAAAAGTATGATTAACTTTGCTAATTTGGTTGCAGCACAATACTGAGGAAAAAGGATAAATGAAAAAAAAAATGTAAAAATAAAAGTTTACTAGCCTATACTGTAACCTGTAAGTTAGAAGAGTTGAAAGCTCCCAAACGACCCATGACATACCATGATTGGATTACCTACAGAACCATCAAACATGAGTCAGATTTATAACACCAAGAAGAGGTGAACATGATTGAATTACCAACTTACACTACCAAGAAGATCTAAATCACGATCTGATGGTGCAGAATAAAGCTCAAACCATATAAAGGAATCTGTGGGATTAAAGCTGTAGATTGAAAAGAAATCATAAGCTAGATAAGCTTTTTTCTGCTCAACAAGCATGTTAGATGTAAATCAAACACACTAAAAGAATATATGAACTTCAGCAATAGGGAAATATAAAATAGGTAATATCAAATGTATAAAATATGCAAAAGGTGAAAAGCAAAAGATGCATACCAAAAAAAACGAAAAAAATGGAATTTATGCACATCACTAATGAAAGCATAACCGAAATGTTTATATATATATATATCTAACTAGGAACACACACTAGTCATCATCATATTAGCCTTATGTCAACTAATTGAGACCGGCAGTAATATAATCCTCCATTCTCTAATGTTAATTGCATTATGAGATGTTAAAATTCATTATTCATTTACTTTTATACAACTTATAGCTAAGTTACCTTTAGTCTACCAACATACTTAAAGACGATAATCACTTTCAAATTCACTGAAATTCTATAATATGTTATCAATTTTATAGAGCTAATCTTAGTAGCTAAGGTTAAACCCTATTTCTTCTAAAATTTATACCATTTTCAAACTTCTCATTTGCTGCAAAAGAGGCCGCTCCTATAAAAATATTATCATTTACAAATAACTTACACAAAGATGCCACATTTTGAATATTTCTTATGATTATTTCCAACACAAATACATAAGAAGTATTGATTTAATGTTATCCATAATTCCTATTATGGTTAGAAATTTCGTGTTCAATCCATAACTGTTTTCCTTTTGCTGGTCATGGTTTACTCGTCATCAACTTCAATTTATTCCCCACCATTTGGAGTCTACTTTATGAATCATTCTTTTCCATTCATTCTTGTTGAGTGCAACATGTTGTGTTAAATCTACTTTGTGCAGGTAATTTTGCATAGCCATGATATATTTGATATACCCATTTTTCTTCTTGATCCTTCAACATTATTTCTATCTACCAACCTTACTAGCGCACCTTTTATGTATCTCTAATCCACTTAAGTATATTTTGCATTGTCTTTTAGAGGCTGCTTGGTTTGAAGAAAAAGGAATACACAAGAAAAGAAATATAATGTAAAATAAAAATAGTGTAATGAAAATACTTTTGAGTTGTTTGGTTGACAAATCAAGGATTTTTATTTTTTTTATTGATTTGAGGTAAGGAAATGCAAAGTAAATAATGGTGCATTTAGAACAAAAGTTGATCAAAGGTAGCAAATAGCAAGAGCAGTCAGCGAAGATTACAGGTGGCCTGCTGCAAGTGGCCTACGACCGACGATGGATGGCAGCGACAGCCAATTGTGACTAGTGACAACCGCCAGAGGAGCAACAATAAATGAGTGGTAGGAGAGGCTACGACGACCAAGGATAAGCAGCAGCTAGTGCTGCGGAAACGACTAGTGACAGGCGACAAGGTCAGCCGACCAGACTTGTACCAAAGTCTTGTATTGGGAATTCAATCAAAACAAGCAAATTTCAAATACACTCATAATGAACTAGATGGAATTTCCAAATGCACCTCCAAAATCATTTGCATTTAAAACAAAACCGTCAAATGCCCAAATTTTAAATTTGTGTTTACTTCAATCTACACTCAAAATACAATTAACCAAATAGCCTCTTAAACAAAACATTCAACTCATGTGCTCTCTTACCTTACATGACCACAAACACACCATCTAAACATTTTATTTCTTCCGCACTCAACTCGGCCATTAATGATTTATTTATTTTCAAATATCTAAATAAACATGGTTTAGTCAGTCTAATATTAGCAAATTTTCCTTTATATCTTCATGATATTTTTTCACCTGGTAGAAAATTTACCTTTATACTTGCTATTTTAACTGTTCATCTTTAACTATAGAAGTTATATCCGTATATATTGTCTTTTGTATATAAGGTACACATGAAAACATATAAAACTGGGCATCATTTGATGTTCCAACAAGACTGGTTGACAATTCTTAACATTCATCAAAATATCTTATCAAATTATCTTTAACAATTTCAATATATATTCTGACACATGTTTTCTTTAATGTGTGACAAAATTAATTCTCATAGTACTCTCATATGCCATTTTAGTATTAAAAAAATAAATTATATGAAGTTCCAACATGGCCTTCTACTCTTATCGATTGATTCTGAAAAATCACCTTTAGGACAGATTCATGGAAGTAAAACAAAATTGACTCCTAAGTGATCTTTAGGTTCATCTTCAGACTTTATGTTCCAATACCATAGCCTTATTATATGACTCAGTAAGTTCTATATTCACCTCAAACTTAAGCATTAAGATTGGTACAATAAATGATTCTTCGATCATTTGATATTCTCCTTGTCTATAAAAATCTTTAAAAAAGATAGGATCAACATAAGTTTTTATATCAACCTTGAGTGTGCTGCTACACCATGATTGTGTTCATTTTACTTTTATATAAAAAGAATCATTCTTAAAATTTATTTTAAAATTTTCTAAAAATAATATTTTTACCTTTAAATAAGATTAACTAGCTCCATCCATAGTATATCAAATTTCATCAAAGTCTCAAGATCACCTCTCACAAGCATGAACTATAATATTCATCGCATGCTTGCTTTTTTATTATGTCACATCATATACAAATCATTTAATATTTATTGTTCTTTCTTTGATTCACTTCTCACTCCTTATTAATGAATCCATATAACACAGTACAGACTAAATAAGGTGAAAAGCATAACTAGGATAAAATCATGAAGAGACCTAACTGGCATATGCTAAATTTAAATATAGAATACAATGCACTGCATCATGAATGCATTAATATTAGTACAATTTACATGTGTATATGACAAGATCATCATAGTAAAAATTTATTAGACATAATCCTTATCAAAGCTTAAGAATGATTGATGATAATGCCAAGTAAAGTGAAATAAAGAACTTTAAGTGAGGTAATCATTGAGTTATGCAATCTTGTTGAATTTAGAAGATAATTAATGAAAATCAGAGTCATCGTTTCTCACTCCCTGAAGTTAACTTTGAAAGCCAGAACCGATCCTGTTTTTGACTTGCCAAAATCTCTGCCTTTCTTGCGAACCCTTTCCTCAACCTAATAAACATAAATGCAAGCCCATTAGAGACAGATGGAGCACATTTTCATTAAATATCAAGGAAACTTTACAACGCATATCTTATCACACCCTTTTCCTCATGAGTTCTGGGTTCCCCACGCTATCCCCAATCACTGCTCGGAGTTCTTCATCATCTTTGCATGCGTTTTCTAATATCCTTAGCCAAAGATAAAAAATGTCAACCATATACAACTTTTTCTTCATAAGATAATTTAATTACAAGATTAGTATGCATTATTGCAATTAAAATGAAATAATAACAAAATCGCAATAAATGATGCAATGATAGAGAAAATGATCAAACAAATCAAGGCTAAAATCAATTATACCATGAGTGTAAAGAATTTGTGCTTGGTGATGACAATGGACAACAATCAGGAGCCGTAAATAGGATCTAGGTTCAATCTAATGTGAACAAACTCAGGTATGTATATGATACTTCCTTACTATAACTTGCCATTAAAAAGAACTAGCAAGTTTGTGGACATACTTTACGGCAACAAAAAGGTTAGAGGATTCCAACCACATCGTCACAATATTGTGAAAGCAGGATTTCAAGAAGTCAGTCAGAACTCTAAATACATCTCGGTGGAGACTAACTTTTAAGAAGCTGAACCTTGTTACTTCTTTCTTGTAAAACAATAATAGAAAATCAGAATCTCACTCTGTGCTTCTGGATGAATCTCTCATCTCAACAAGAACAACAACAATAACAACAACAACATCAAGCCTTTCTCCCATTATATGAATGTGAGGTCGGCTATATGAATTATTTTTCTCCATTGCGTCTTGATAAGAGTCAAATTATCATTTAAAACTAATAATAACAAGGTCATTTCTAATATTTTCTAACCAAGTCTTTTTAGGTCTACCTCTACCTTTCTTAACATAAGTCAAATCTAATATAACTAATTTCCTAACCAGGTCATCAGAAGGCTGCGTTTTATATGACCAAATCATCTAAGGCAACTCTCTCTAATCTTCTGGAGCTACTCTAACTTTTTCACGTATATGCTCATTTTGTATCTTGTCTCTAAGAGTAAAGCCACTCATCCACCTAAGCATCCTCATCTCTGCAACACTTAACATTATATTATGCTTCTCTTTTAATGACGAACATTCTGTACCATAAAGCATTGCAGATCTCACCACCATCTTATAGAATTTTCCTTAAGTTTGAGAGAGACTATTCTATCACACAATAAGCCCGATGCATTCCTCCATTTTAATCATCCAACTTGAATTCTACTAATAATATCCTTATCAATTTCACTATCACGCTGAAAAATAGACCCAAGATATTTAAAACGTGTACTTTAATTAATGACTTGATCACCTAAAGTCACAATCGCCCTACTAGATCTATTATTACTAAAATTACACTCTATATATTAAGTTTTAGATATACTCAAACGAAAGTCTTTAGACTCTAACTCCCTCTCTATTCATATCAACAAGAAGAATATCATCAGCAAAAAGCATACACCAAGTTACAACCTCTTGCAAATGTTTAGTGTGAACATCCATGGCTAAAAAAAAAAAAAGATATGGGTTTAAGGCTAATCCTTGATGTAATCCAACTGAAATAGAAAAGTACTTGGTCAAACCAACTTGTGTTTGAACACAAGTAACAACTCTGACATACATATTCTTAATGATTTGAATGTAAGCATTATTAACCCCTTTCATTTGTAGAACTCTCCATAACACTTCTCTTTGGAACTTTATCATATATTTTCTTAAAATCAATAAATATCATGTAGATCCTTCTTATTCTCTCTATACTTCTCCATCAAACCTCACAATAAATGTATAGCTTCCATAGTTGACCTACCCGGCATGATTCCAAATTGATTTTGAGAAACATTAGTATCATGGTGCAACCTATGCTCCATAACTCTCTCCCATAGTTTTAAAGTATGTCACATTAACTTAATTCCTCTATAATTTGCACAATCTTGTGCATCACCTATATTCTTAAAAATAGGAATCAACGCACTCATTCTCCACTCATCTGGCATCTTTTTAGTCTCCAAATTAATATTAAAAAGTTTAGCAAGCTAAGATATTATAAGGTTACTATTTCATCTCCTAAGCATTTCCACACCTTTATTGGAATGTTATCATGTCCAACAGCTTTTTCACACTTTATTTTCTTTAAAGCATCTCTAACTTTGGTTTTACTAAAACACAAATAAAAAAAATCATTATTTTCATTTAGGGTGCTAAGGTTACTAAGTCAATCACATTCTAACAATCTTTATTGAAAAGTATGGAAAAATATCTAATTCACATTTGTTGAATATCCTCTTCTAATAAAAATACTTTTTGATCTTCATCCTTAATACACTTCACTTTAAGTAAATCCTTATTATTATTATCTCTTTGTTTGCTAACTAATACATATATCTTTCGCCCTCCTTAGTATCTAATATATTATATAAATCATTAAAAGCTAAAAATTTTTCCTCGCATATTGCTTTCATAGACTCCCTACGGGCTTCTTTATATCTTAGACTCCCTGCGATGTGCACTGAGCAAAAAGGCACTAGTTTATTCACGCTACCCTCAGTTGGGGCCTTCCCTTGTCGCCATCTCGGATCGATGAGTATGAACTCCTTACCTTCATGAGTTATTCCACTAGACCTCACAAGTGGCAACATTCATCCATGTCATGACCATGATCCTTGTGGAAGGCGCAATACCTTGAGGTGTCATGGGTGTTGGTAGTTGCTTGGTGGTTGCTTTTATTAGCGGCGGGCGCCTCAAGAGCTCCTAGTTCTATATGGCCTCTATGAGTTCGGCCATAGACATTCTCAATGGAGTGTAGGTGGGCTAAGTTGGAAAAAAAACCTCTTTATGATATCGATGAGTGTCACGAGGGAGCTCCTCTACACTTGATGTTGGTGACCCTACTACCCTCAAGAGCCTCAGTTGTATGGGTGCTCTCTATTGTTCAGGACGTTAGCGATCATGTGGCAAGTTTGGTCTCTCATCTTCCTATCCCTGGGACGAATTCTTTCTCGCTCTCTTCCTTGGTGTGGGCAATCCTTTGATGGCTAGCAGCTGAAGATGATTCAACCACCTAGTTGTACTCCTCGAATTGACATGATCGTTGGCCAGCTACAACAATTCGACAAGTGTTCTCGGCTATTGCAAGTCGAGTACATATCTGAAAGGACCTTCCCATAATCCTTGAGTTAAGGCAGCCTAAGCGAATACAGGCTCCAAGTCCTTTATGTCTAGCATTTCTCTCTAAAACATCACAATGAAGCTCCTTAAGGACTCTCTAGGCTCCTACCTCATTTTCATAGAGCCTACGAGTTCTTCTGGGGTCTTTAGGCACTAGCAAGTTGTGTAGTGAACATCCACTTGAATTTGGAAGAGGAGGTGATTACTCCAAGGGGCAAGCGAGCAAACCACCTCAATGTTGACTCCTTGAGTGTCGTGAAGAATAAGCAACACTTAAGGACATTGTCTATGTCCAATAGGGAGGTCATATTGGAGGTCATGACTCGAAAGTCATCATATGATCTGTGGGATCAATCTTGTCTTTGTATGACTCCAAATGAGGCATTTCGAACTTGGGAGGAAATAAGGCCTTAGCGATTGCCCTGGAAATGACATTGGCTAGTTATGATTCTTCCTTCCTAACTCGCCTAGTCGACAGGCTATAATCTTCTTCACTCATCTAGGTGCGAGTGTAGTCAAGGATGGGTGTAGAGGCAAGTGCTCTCTCTGAGTGCTTTTGATGAGATGTTGAGTCAAAGGATCCTTTAGGCATGTTGTTAGCTCGCGCTCACCCCGAAAGGCCGCTCGGGGCATCTCAGATTGTCTTCATCAATCACTCCTCAATTTCCTGCAGGTCACGACGAGTGGTGAATTCAGCATTTTGCATGTTCACATATGCCTCATGTTGAGGTCGCTTGTCAAACAGTCTGTCTTCTGGCCCTTGGCATCAATCCATATTCACCACATCTAAGAGGATGTTGAATCCAAATTTATTCAATGGACCGTACTAAAATTTACTAACATATTTGTTTGGTGAGTTGAGAGCCTATTGGTGAGAATGAAGAATATAGAGCGCTGAGATGAGTAGAGTAAGTTGGTAGAATTTCCACTAACCATTCAAAAAGTATAAAAAATGAGACTCAAGAGGCCCAAAAGATTTAAAAAAATGTCTCAATTGTTCATCATCACTCTTTATTTATAGAATTTTCAGGGCTATAGAAAAGGCTATACAAAAAATATTAAAAATACAGGCTACAACGAATATATGTATAACACTATACACTAATAAAGGATACATGTCACCTCCTCATTGGCTGCAAGAGGATGAAGTTAATGGTCTGACAATCTATCTAACATCTGGCAAGCTCAAGAAAGGGGAGTAGGTGTAAGGCAGGCTCCAAGAGGAGATGGATCTGTAGCTAATGAATTGTCTTATCACGTTAGCATACTAGCGTAGAAGGCTTGAGGCCGCCATATCGTGAAAGGAGAGCAAAGGTGTTCACAGGGCTAAAGAGTCCCTGAGCCTGGCAGTAGGAGCCGAATGGATTGTGGAGTGGGATAAGCACTATCCTGTAGCTAAGTATAGTGAGCTCGGAGGGGGAGGATGTGACTTAGATAAATGGCAATCCATCTGCTTCGTGAGGAATTTCTTGTCACTCAATGAAGGGCAAGCTTTTAGCAAATTTGGGCGAGTGATGCCCGTCGTTCTCCTTGGGCGAGTTTCTTTGGTGGTCTTGGGAGAGTCGTTTGAGGGATCTATTCAAAAGGGGGAACTCCCTCATCACGAACCGGTAGTTAAGGTTATTATTGGTGTACGTAATTCGTATAATCTAATTTGTCATCTGATATGTTAATTAGTTATGTTTTAATATGTCATAACGCAACCCGACAAGACCCACTTATAGATAGGTCCTTTCGTGTTTAGCAGTGACAAACAAATCCCAATATCTAGTTTTTAAAATTTCAAATTTTCTTACATTATTTATTTTAAAACAAATAATAATATGCTACAGAGATACTAAAATATCTAACGTACTAAAATAAACCCACTGTAAAATCTCTTATATTTCATCGTCAAAATAGTTATACATAATCACAGTACATAGATATAAACAAAAGCTAAAAAACTAAATGATGAAACTAGTC